ACAATAAATCAAAAATTCAGCCGGGCGTGGTAGCGCATGCCTGTAATTCCGGCTACTTGGTAGGCTGAGGCAGAAGGATCGCCGGAGCCCGGCAGGTCGAGGCTGCGGTGGCCGGGAGTGGCCACTGCACTCCAGTATGGGCGAGAGTGAGACTCCAACTCAAAAAAAAAAAGATTCGCTTTTTTGTGATGTAAGGTTTTGACAAATGCTCAAAGTTATGTGTCCGCCATTATAGTGTTATACAGAAGTTTCACTGTCTAAAAATTCTGTGCTTTACGTCTTCAACCCCTTCTCCCAAACTCCTACCAACCACTCATTTTTTTACTGTATGCATTGATTTGCCCATTCCAAAAGGTAATGTAATTGGAATCATGCAGTATGTGTCCTTTTCAGACTGATTTGTTTCACTTAGCAGTATTCAGTTAAGATTCATTTATGTCTTTCTATGGATTGATAGCTCACTTCTTTTTTGGCACTAGGTAGTATTCTGTTATATGGATGTACTGTAGTTTTTCATTTATTCACCTATTGAAGGTTATCTTAGTTGTTTCCAGTTTTTGGTAATTATTAATAGCTTACTTTTTCAATTAAAATAGTGCTAATTTTTCAGATCTTGGTTCATGGGATTTCATCTTAAGTGGTCTAAACTGACTTCCTTATCACAGATCATTTGCTTCTACTTAGCATAATTTAGTTTTGGTTTTGTAGTGCAAAGTTAATTTTTTGCTAGTTTGTGTTCATTGTAAGCCTACAGTGCTCTGTGGATATCTCTTTCTTATTTATCTAATCTCACGGTGTTTGTTTTTTCTGTGCATGATTGGGCATTACTTATTTATTAACTTTAATGGAATGATAGCCTAGCAGAGGAGCAGGAGAAGGACCTTTAATTGGAACTAGATTCTCATTTGAAAGAAGTTCTACCAGAAAGTGGAGTCTGGTATCTAAAGGTCTTAATTTTGTTTTATTTATTTATTTATTTCTAAAAATTTTTTAATTTTTTTTATTTTTTTGAGTTGAAGTCTCACTCTATCGCCCAGACTGGAGTGCGTGGCCGCTCCCGGCCACTGCAGCCTCGACCTGCTGGGCTCCGGCGATCCTTCCGCCTCAGCCTTTCAAGTAGCCGGAATTACAGGCATGTGCTACCACACCCGGCTGATTTTTTGATTTATTGTAGAGATGAGGTCTCGCTGCCCAGGCGGGTCTCGAACCCGCGGGCTCTGGCAATCCACTCACCTCAGCCTCCCAAAGGCGTGGGATTACAGGCTGAGCCACCGAGCCCGGCCAGGTCTTAATTTTGAAGATCATGAAGGTCAGAGAACAGATGGTATTTTTGTCAGGTATTTCAAGTGATATTTTAGTCAAGCATTGGTGTTAATACAGGCATTGTGGGTAGTGGTCTTATTTAGAAGTTCAGGCATTCGGCAAGCATCAAGGCTTATGTTTCTAGTGTAGCATTTCTTCTTTGGTAAGAGAAAGAATTCAGTCAACTCAAAGAGGAAACAAGTAACAAGTATTGGCTTAAAAAAAAAAAGAAATCCAGTTCTGAGAATTGGGACCAGTATCAAAGTTGACTAATGGCAAATGTAATTTAATAGTAAATCTCTCTCTTTTAAAAAATGTTTTATTTTAAACATGGGGGTACAATTTAGGATTAGGCATACAAGTGGACACCATACAGGTAAAGTTTGGGCCTCCCTTTCGTCCCTACTTTGCCTGGTTTGAGATCAGGTACCCTTATTGATGTTGTGTTCTCCCCCATTCTATCCCCACTCCAGCAATATCCTACGACTGCCTATCCCTTTCTTATAGTATTATGGTAAATGTTCAGGTTCTGCTTATGAGTGAGAACATATGGCACTCTATTTTTTGTTTCTGTGATAGATCACTGAGTATGATAGACTCTAAATTCATCCAAGTTGCTGCGAAGTCCATATGCTAGTCCTTCTTTATGGCTGCGAAATAGTAAATCTCACTTTTGAACTTGAGCTTCATAAATTCTTCCTTGTCTATAGTTTGAATTGATTCTAGGACAGAGGTTTAGTATTAAGTAGAAAGAAAGCTTTAAAGTTTGGGAACTAGAGAAGATTCCTTGGTATTCGCTGATAGTTAACTTTTAGAAAAAAAAATTTTTTTTTTTAAGTTGGAGTCTCACTCTATCACCCAGGCTGGAGTGCAGTGGCATACTTACTGCCACCCCAGTGTCGACCTGCTGGGCTCAGGCGATCCTTCTGCTTCAGCCTTCCAAGTAGCCAGTACTATAGGTGTGCACTACCACGCCCGGCTAATTTTTTGATATATTGTAGAGACGGGGTCTTACCAAGTTGCCCAGGCTGGTCTTGAATCCCTGGCTCAGGCAATCCTCTCACCTCAGCCTCCCAGAATACTGAGATTACAGGCTTGAGCCACTGCACCTGGCCAGAGGTATTTTTTTAAAATACTTGCCTCTGGTTGGTTAAGATTGATAATAATGCTTGCAACCTTATTAAGGCTTTGACTGAGATAAAAATTCAATGATACACACAATGACTGGTTTATATATATATAATTTCAACTCTAGTTAAGATTAAATTTAATTCATCTCCTTCCCAAATTATCCAATTCAATGTCAAATATAGATTTAGTTTTGAAGAGCAAATGCTTTGAAAGTAGTGGTTTAATTTTTTAAAATTTTAAAAAATATCTATCTGTTTGTCTGTCTATTTTTTTGAGTTGGAATCTCACTCCACCGCCCAGGTCAGAATGCAGTAGCACCCTTATGGCCACCCCATTGACCTGCTGGGCTCAGGAGATCCTTCTACCTCAGCCTTCCAAGTAGCTGGAACTATAGGCATGTGCTATCATGCCCGGCTAATTTTTGATTTATTGTAGAGACGAGATCTCGCCAAGTTGCCCAGGCTGTTCTCAAACTGGTGGGCTCAGGCAATCTGCTCACCTTGGCCTCCCAAGGTGCTGGAATTATAGGCTTTGAGCCACCATGCCTGACAATTTTTTTAATTTTTTAATTTTAAAGATGTGAGGTACAATCAGGGTTAGGTATACAAATGTTCATTATGCAGGTTCCCTTGTTCATGAGCTATACCCTCCCTTCCCTAGCAGTTTCCCACTACTGCCAATTCCGCTCCCCCCACCCCACCCCTGGCCATTTCCCACTACTGACAATCCTTTTCTCATAGTATTAATGAAAATTGTTCAAGGTCCGCTTATGAGTGAGAACGTGATACTCAGTTCTTTGTTTCTGTGATAGATCACTAAGTATTATAGACTCTAAGTCCATCTAAGTTGCTGTGAAGTTCATAATTTTGTCCTTCTTTATGGCTGCATAATATTCCATTGTGTATATATATCACATTTTAAAAATTGAGTCCTCTTTCATTGGGCAGCACAGTTGGTTCCATGTTTTTGCTGTTACGAATAATGCTGCAATAAACGTGTGTGCAGGATCTTTTTCATAGAGTGATTTGAGTTCCTCCGGGTATATTCCCAGAAGGGAGATTGCAGGGTTGTACAGAAGGTCGATTTTTAGATCTTTTAGGACTTGCCAAACTGTTTTCCACAGAGGTTGTACTAGTTTGCCCTCTTATCAACAGTGTAGAAGTGTTCCCTTTTCCCTGCATCCTCTTCAGCAACTGTTGTTTTTTGAGTTATTGTTGATGGCCATCCTGACTGGAGGTAGGTGTTATCAGTGTGGTTTTTATTTGCATTTCTTTGATGAGTAGTGGTTTAATTTTATCAATTTTTTTCTAATTATTTTATAGTTACTTTAGGCAGCTGTGTTTTGAATCTTTTGTTTATTAAAGACTTTGGATGCTTATGAAATTATTGAAATATATGAAAAGCTCCAATAGATTAATTGCGCGTAATTGTGGAGGATGTTTTATTGTGAGATATTAGAACCATCACCATTACCAAAACTCTTCAATTTTTAGCAAATTTATATATTTTGAGTACATTTTAACATCTTTTGAAACAGTGTGAGGAATGGGTTTTTAACATACATATCAGTTTCTCAGTTAGGTTAATCTGAGAAACTTTGTCAATTTTATATTGCACCTATTGTTCCTTGTTGTGTAATAATAAAGTTTATTATTATTTAAAAACTCTAGACCAGGTGCAGTAGCTCATGCCAGTAATTCCAGCACTTTATGAAGCCGAGGTAGGAGAATTTCCTGAGCCAAAGAATCAAGACCAGCCTGGGCAGCATGGCAAGACCTTGTCTTTACAATAAATCAAAAAAGCAGCCAGGTGTGGTGGCACATGCCTGTTGTCCCAGCTCCTTGGAAGGCTGAGGTGGAACGATTGTCTGAGCCCAGCAGATTTAGACTGCAGTGGCCATGATCGTGCCACTGCACTCCAGCCTGGGTGACAGAGTGAGACTCTGACTCAAAAAAATATATATTCTGAAAGTTATATATGCGTATACATCTAGTCATTTTTTTTTAATTATAGAGGTAGCTGATTAAAATATTATGAATTCAGTGATACTTACTTTAGGATGCTTACCAAATGTAATGAGCAAGAGTAGTGTGCTTTGGGGTTGTGTGTGTGTGTAGATCTGTGTACAGTCTTGTCAGGTTTTAGCACCAGCATTAAGACAACTCTAAAATATGCTGGGTAGTTTTTCACCCTCCCACTCTTTTCAGCTTAGAATTTAGCTTGAGTTATTTTAATAATTGTGTGTTTTTCTAGGAAATCATGTATTGTATTAAATGTTTAAACTTTATTAGCATGCGTCCTTTATAAATATTTGCTTTTAGTTCTTTAAAATTTTTTTCTCTATGTGTTAGCTTTGTTTGTGTTTCTTAATTTTTTCTCTTGATTTCTGTGAGACTTGTCTTTCATGTTTTTAAATAATCGGCCTTTAGATTTATTCGATACATACTATTTTACTTATTACATATTCTTATGTTTTAGCATATTTTCTTTTTTTCTCTATTATATATTTCTAGTATGCAATATTGCATAGAAAACAACCTAAACAACACTTAGGTATTCACAGTCACACCCAAATATAAAATATTGTATGTAATTGAAGCCCACTGTGTACTCTGTCCCTAACAGAGGTAACCACTTTTATGAATTTGATGTTTTTCATTTTTTGTTTTTATATTTTCAATAGAGATAGATGTTTTCATAAAGATATATTGTTTTCTTTTGTATATTTTCAGACTTTATATAAATGTTATACTTTATGTATCATTCTGAAACTTAACTTTTTCATTCCATATTATGTTTCCGATATTTTAAAGTTGATTTATATAGTCTAGATTTGTCTTTTTAACTGCTGTATAAAATTCATTGTATGAACAAAACGTAATTTATCTTTTTTCTGTATTGTATTAAATGTTTGTTTATTTTTATTCACAAATGATAAACTTTAAAATAAATTTGATGCTTCATTTGCTCTCTCCCCAGTGGCAAATACTATTACAATTTTGACATACATCATTTCACTTCATGTTGAAGTTGTTTGTAATTTTTAATTTATAGGTAGTACTGTCATAGGCATTCTTATACATGTCCCCTCGTTAATATGGGTGAGAATTATTCTGGGGTATAGTCCTAGGAGTAGAATTTTTGAATTATGTATGTGGACATATTGAGCCTTACTGTTACTGACAAATTACTTTCCACAGTGGCTACACCTATTTATACTCTTCCTGAAGTGTATGGAAGTGACCTTTGCTTCACATTGTTGCTAGCTTACGTTTGTTTGTTTCTTTTAAAAATTTTCTTGTATCTACAGCATAGATAATTTATTTTTAAATTTTCACTTTTAATAACTGCAGAAATATACCTCACAATATAACTTTGGATTTTGTCACATTTTTTTCTTAGCATAATTTTGTCATTTTTGTGTAATCTGATATTTGTTTCTCCAAATATTTTAAGTATATAAAAAAGTTGGCATTTTGTATTTAAACTCAATTGTTCATTTTTTCGTTTTATTGCATTTTGTGACGGTAACATGCCTCAAATTATTTCTAGTTTTTGGAACTTGACTGAGCAATGAATGCTCTGAAAGAACATGTTTTATTTGCTAGTTGTGTATTCATTTAATAAGGCTCAAAATCATTCTTTAAAAAATGGTTGACCTGTCATAAATCACATACTCTCCTTATAATGTAATCTTTTTTGCTTGATAAATTTGTCTGTTTTCTACATAAAGTCTTATGACTTATATTTTTATTATGTATGGATGTTTTTATAAAGCGTAGTTATTTTTATCATTTTGTGTCCATCAATATTACCAAATTCAAAAGTTTGATAACACGAAGTGTTGTTCAGGTTTGAAGAAATAGGCAACTATCACTGCTACTGCTGAGAGCACAAATTGGTGAAAATTGTCTGTAGGAGTTTGGCGGTATTCTTTAAAGAGGGAAATGTGTACACTACAACCTGGTAATTTCACTTTTAGATTGTTTCTTCACAGAAATTCTTGAACTCATATGCGAGAATACTCACTGCAGTTTCTTTTCTAATCATGCAAAATTGTACATAGCATCAATGCCCACAAATAGGAGAATGGATTTCACATTGTGGTATATTTATATGCAGGGATGCAATGTATCAGTTAACATGAATAAACTTGATATATATTATCAACATAGTTATATCTCAACCTGTGGGCCATATAATACCATACAGGTAAGCATTAAATACATTTGACAATATAGCATATGTAAGAATACAAAAACATGAAGTGAAATTATATATGTTAAAATTGTTACAGTATTTGCCACTGGGTTGAGAACAAAGGAAGCGTCAAGTTTATTTTAAAGTTTATCATTTGTGAATAAAAATAAACATCTTAAAACATAAGTAAGTGTCCATTGGAATATTACTAGAATTCAATAAGTACTCTTCCTCTCTTTAGTCCTTATCTACAGGTTGATTATCCTAAAATGCTTTTTGTACTGTTCTATATTTTCTGTATTCTGCACAACAAAACTTGTTTTTCTGTTATGATCAGAAAGCAAACTTTAAGTTAAAAAAAACCTAACTGTCTTTTTACTCTGTCTTTTGTGTACTGTCTCTCTTCCTCCCCCTTCCTCTCTCTCTCTCCCTCCCCATCCCCCTTTCCCCCCTCCTCCTCTTCTTCTCTCCTCCTCTTCCCCTCTCCTCTAACCTCCTTTCTATCCCCCTTCTTCCTCTCCCTCTCCTTCTTCCCCCGCCCCATCCTCTTGGGCTCAGGCAGTCCTCTCACCTTGGCCTCCCAAAGTACTGGGATTACAGACGTGGGCCACTGCACCTGACCCTTTCTTTCTTTTGTGAGCTGGGCACTTAAATTCCACTTTTGCCAGTATTAAAATTGCCCAGTGTATTTTTTTTCTATTGTATATTCACTAGTCTCATTAAGGTTTTTTCCCTGTATTTGACTTTTTAAAAATATAATTCAGGCTATTGTCATAAATCTTATATACTGAATTTGCTTTTCTGCTTTGTAGGTTAAAGAGGAGATGCTATTTGAAGCATTAGTTACAAGGAAGACAGTGACAGTGGGAGAAAAGCTTATTTTACCATACAAGCTGGCAGAGGTATGATATATTTTCTTTGAAATCAAAGCATTCTGCACATTTCAAAAGTTTGGGTTTGTGTTTTTTCTGTTAATAAAATGCAAATGACAACAAGAAAAAGTGTTAATTGAAATATTTTCTAGGCTCTTGAAATTTGATTTTAAATTTTCCATTTGATTTGAAAAATCAAAGTTGAGTGTGATTGTAAGCAGTAGCTTGCATTTTTCTCCAAGGATCTTAATCTCTTCACTGTTCCTAAGTTTCATTACAGTAGATGGGGATGGATAAATGGTAGGCAGAATTATAAATGAGTAGTATTTGACCCAATTGATTATTCCTTCTTAGACAGTTTCTTCAGTTATCTTCTTCCAGCATGTCATACTTTTCTGGTGAACTTTTTCTGGTGAACTTGTTTGTTGGCTACTCCTCAGCAGTCTTGTGCCCTCTTTTCTTTTTGGCCTCTAAAAGGTGGGGTACCCTAGAATACAGTCTTTGTGTTTTGTTCTCAACAGTCTTTATTGAGGTTATCTCACTGAGTCCAGTGGCTTTAAATATCACCTGTATGCAGAGGCTCCCAGGTGAGATTTGTTGCTATGATTATACTACTTAGGTGGACAGGGCTAGGAAAATTATTGAAAAGCCACTATATTATGCAGTAATTTTACCAAAGTGGTGACAAATCAAACTGACAATTATTATAAAAGTGAGCCAAGGATATGGAATTAGAAGATTAGAAGACACAGAGGTGAAGAAATTATGATTGAATTCTAGAGAGTGTTTTTTAGGCTGATGTTGATTCATTTATCTCAACTCCTAACTGTGCTTCCAAGTCCACATTTCTTATGTTATATTTAATTGTCCCCCACTCTGAGATCTTTTTTCTAAATAATAAAAAAGCCATATCTTTTAGGAGTTTTGCCTTTCTTATATATGAAGATTCAATTCTTTTATATTTTCTTTTAAAATCTTTATTTCAAAAAAATTTCAATGTTTATTTACATTTTTAGCTTTCTGAGATTATTTTGTATCCCCTGCTTTGTTTTTATTTACATTTGTCAAGTGTATTTATTTATTTGTTTAATACATATTTTAAAACCTCTTTTTATGCTCAGAAATGTACAAGACATTAGGGGTATGTTGGAGAGTAGTCCTAAAGGGGTTTAGTATTTTAGCTGAAGAGCAATGGAAAGCTCTTAAAGTATTTTAAGCAAAAAAAGTTTCTCAGATTTTTTTTTTTTTAAAGGAGTACTCTGGCAGCAATGTAAAGAATCATTTGGAGGAGTGTATTAGTTTTTTACAGCTGTTAAACAAATTTAGTGATGTCATAACAGAGCTGTAAACAGAGCTGTTTCACAGATTTATTACCTTGACAGTTTCCATGGGCCATGTTTCTGGGCACACGGGTTAGTTGGGTCCTCTGCTCAAAGTCTCACCAGGCTGAAATCAAGATGTCCATCAGTGCTGTAGTCTAATTAGTGGCTTGGGGTTCTCTTCCAAGTTTACAGGTGGTTGGCAGGATTCAGTTATTCGTGGTTGTAGGACTGAGATGCCTGTGTTTTTTTGTTATTGTTGGCTATCAGGAGCCATTCTCAGCAACTAGAGGCTGATGCCATTTCTTGCCTTGTGGCCCTGCCCGGGACATGGCAGTTTGATTCTTCAAGGTGGGCAGGAGAATTTCTGGTAGCAGGACTCCAATTCCTTTTGAAGAACTTTGTTTAAGTCAGGCCCACCCAAGTCACTTCCTTTGATTAATTAAAACAATAAACTGATTTGGGTCCTCACATATTCAAAATTTTTTCTCCTTTATCATATAACATAAGCTTGTTATGGGACTAAAATTCATCGTATTTTCAGTTCTGCCCATACTTACAGGGAGGGGATTATACAGTGCTTGTATCCCAGAGGATGGGAGTCTTGGAGGGCATCTTAGGATTCTGCCAAACACAGAAGGCAAGAGTGTGTGTCGAGAGATGAGTTGAGAGGCTGCAGTAGTGAGGAGAAAGATATTTCTTTTGTCTAGAGTCTCAGCATACTGATAGGGAGAAATGGATAGATTTAAAAAGAAGAAAAACTAGATCAGAGTAACAAGACCTAATTATGACTTCAATAATGGGAAACCAGGAAAAAAAATGAGATGTCAATAATAAGTCCTAAGTTTCTGGCTAACACGGCTATAAGAATATTGGTACTCTTCAGTGAGATAGAGAGCACTAAATGAAATCTTGTTTGAGTAATAAAATGGTACTTGGTGTTTGGGCTTATTGAGATTAAACTATAATAGACAGGACTACATTTCAGAGAATATAAAATTGAGAGTTATGGGGTAAATAAGTATTATATTGGTATATCTGGATTCTGTTTGACTATTGTGTTTTGTGACAATGGTACGTTGTATTAACCATGAATGCTGTAGGTAGTTTGTAGTTTTTATCTTTATCTGAAAGTCTTTAAACTAAAAAAAAGCCTACTTATATATTTTATTGTGATAAATAATATGCATGTGCATATTTTTTGTCTTATGCTTATTTTAGTTTTAAAATGTTTTACTTTTGCCGAATTTTTTTTTTTTTTTTTGAGTTGGAGTCTCACTCTGTCGCCCAGACTGGAGTGCAGTGGCCGCTCCCGGCCACCACAACCTCGACCTGCTGGGCTCCGGCGATCCTTCCGCCTCAGCCTTCCAAGTAGCCGGAATTACAGGCATGCGCTACCACGCCCGGCTGATTTTTTTTTTTTTTAATTTATTGTAGAGATGAGGTCTTGCTGCCCAGGTGGGTCTCGAACCCACGGGCTCAGGCAATCCACTCACCTCAGCCTCCCAAAGGCGCGGGATTACAGGCTGAGCCACTGAGCCTGGCTACTTCTGCCGAATTTGATCAGATTGTCTTTATTCCTTTTTTCTTGTCTGTCAAAAAACTGAATGGTATTTTACTATACATCTGTTTTACTGTTGGTTTTCTTGATAGTTGGCCCTCTGTATCCTCAGGTTTTACATCTGAGGATTAAATCAATTGCAGATCAAAGATAATTTGGAAAAAAAAACCCACAATAATAAAATATAACAATAAAATAATACAAGTTAAAAATACAGTACATAACACGTATTGTATTATAAGTAATCTGGAGATGAGTGAAAGTATACAGGAGATTGTATGTAAGTTATATACAAATAATACACCATTAACATAAGGTACTTGATTATCCATGGATTTTTTTTTTATCCTTGCAGGGAAGGGACCCTGGAACCAATCCCTTGAAGATTCTGAGGGATGACTGTGCTTTGTTAACTTGCCTAAAGATAGAATTTTAGAGTCACATTTCTTCTTCTCTCAGAACCCTGTAAACATTTTCCAATTATTTTCAAGTTTCTAGTTTTGAAGATAGAGAATTTAATACCAGTCTTCTCTTTCCTATATAGGCAATTATTTTTGATGTAGAAACTTGAAACTTTAATTTTTTCCTTTATATTCAGAAATTAATTCATCAACTAGTGATAGGTTGTTGTATTATCTCAGTTTTATAGATGTATAAGTGGTAGCCTAAGTTTGAGTAACTTGATCATGATAGTACAGCTAGAACAAGTAAAAAACTGGAATTGGAAGGTAGTCTAGCTCTTTTTTCTTTGAAGAGAAAGTTTAGTTTTTGTGAGTAAATTTATATTGTTAAATATTTTGAACAAATTATATTATTTCTGGTTTTAATAAATCAAATTTCTAGAAAACTATAAAGTTTCCTAAGATAGCCAGAGCTAATCGTTTGATATGGCCTTTTTTCCGTCCTTTTTTGTGTGTGTGCCAGAAATGACATTTTAGAACCTTCTCTGGCCAACTTATTTTTAAGTGGTAAAGAAAAACCTTCATCGATTTTTGAAGTTGATATTTTTATCTTAGAAGAGTCCGTAGAAATGTTATGACACTATAACACATTTTTAAGTGCACAATACAGTATTGTTAGCTATAGGTACAATGTTGTACAGAAGCTCTCTAATTTTGATGTCAATATTAAAGTCCTTAAGAAAAGAAATCACTTAATTCTTTGAACAGCTCAAACAGCAGCATAAAAAAGTCTTTGTTATAGTATCCAGGCACTAGCATTCAAAATTATTATTATTTTCTTTTCTTGCCAGTCTCTGAGGGTTTTATTTTTTATGTATGCATTTTTTATATTTTATTTTAAAGACATAGGGTACAAGTCAGGGCCTCCCATTGGTCCTCACTTCACCTGGTTTAGGATCAGGTACCCTTATTGATGTTATGTGCTCCCACCTTCCCCTGACAGTGCCTACTACTGCCAATCCCTTTCTTGTAGTATTATGATAAATGTTCAGGGTCCACTTATAGGTGAGAACATGTGATACTCAGTTCTTTGTTTCTGTGCTAGATCACTGAGTATGATAGACTCTAAAGCTTATCATTTTGTCCTCTGTGGCTGTGTAATATTTGGCCATATTTGATGTAGCATATAATATTCTAGAAATTTGATGTAGCATATAATATTCCATCATGTATATGCTATATGCACCACACTTTTTTTTGAGTTAGAGTCTCACTCTGTTGCCCACGCTGTAGTGCAGTGGCACAGTGGCACACTCATAGCCACCCCAGTGTCAACCTTCTGGATGCTGTCTATCCTGCCTCAGCCTTCCAAGTAGCTGGAACTACAGGCGTGTGCTACCATGCCCTTCTAATTTTTGATTTATTGTAGAGACGAGGTCTTGCCAAGTTGCCTGGGCTAGTCTCAAACCCATGATCTCAGGCAATCCACTCGCCTCGGTCTCCCAAAGTGCTGGGATTACAGGCTGAGCCACCAACCCCGGCCTGTACCACACTTTTTAATCCAGTTCACTTTCGATGGGTGGCACACTTGGTTCTATGTTTTTGCTATTGTATATAGTGCTGCAATAACATGCATACACAGGTATCTTTTTTTGTAGAATGAATTGAATTCCTCTGGGTATATTCCCAGAAGGGGAGTTGTAGGTCATATGGAAGGTCAATTTCTAGATCTTTTAGAAATCACCACACTGTGAGAGGTTATACTAATTTATACTCCCACCAACAGTGTAGAAGCATTTTCTTCTTCTCTCTGCATCCTTTCCAGCATCTTTTTTTTTTTTGAGTTATTAATGATGGCCATCCTGACTGGAATTAGGTGTTATCTCAGTGTAGTGTTGATTTGCATTTCTTTGATGACTAGTGAGACTGAGCATTTTTTTCATGTATCTGTTGGCTGCTCATATGTCTTCTTTTGAGACTTGTCTATTCATGTCTTTTGCCCACTTTTTAATAGGGTTGTTTGTTTTCTTTCTTTTGACACGTTCCTTGTAAATCCTGGAAGTTAGGCCTTTGTCACATATATAGTTGGCAAATATTTTTTCCCATTCTGTGGGCTGTCTCCCTGCTCTCTTGATGGTTTGTTTTGCTTTTCAAAAAGCTTTTCAGTTTGATGAGGTCCTGGTTGTCTATCTTATCTCTTATATCATAGGCTTTTGGGGTTATGATCAGAAATTGGTTGCCTCCTGCATTTTCTAAGATTCTTTAGTTTGAGGTCTTATGTTTAGGCCTTTGATCCATTTAGAGTTAATTTTTGTGTGTGGTGATAGATAGGGGTCCTGTTTCATTTTTCTGCATGTGGTCAGCCAGTTTTCTCAGCACCATTTACTGAAGAGGTTCTCCCCTTCCCAGTGGTTGTTGGTGGAGGCTTTGTCGAATATGAGTTGTTTGAGAGATTGAGATTTTGCACCTTGAATCTCTGTCCTGTTCCATTGGTCTGCGTGTCTGTTCTTGTACCAATACCAGGCTGTTTTGATTATTGTAGCCTTCTAATAAAGTTTAAAATCTGGAAGTGTGATACCTCCTGCTTTATTTCTTTTTCGGAGGATTGTTTTAGCTATTCATGGTCATTTTTGTTTCCATATGAGTTTCTGTATTGCCATTTCCAGGTCTAAGAATGGTGTTGAGAATTTAATGGGTATTGTGTTGAATCTATAGGTTGCCTTGGGTATGATGGACATCTTAACAATATTGATTCTTCCAATTTGTGAGCATGGAATATTTTTCTATTTGTTGTGTCTTTATCTATTTATTTATTTATTATTTCTTCTTCTTCTTCCTCTTCCTCTTCCTCCTCCTCCTCCGGATTTATTGAGAGGACAGAAAAGCTCCTACAGTGGGAGGGGACCCAAGGGGGTTGCCCATCTTTGATTTCTTTGAGCAGTGTTTTGTAGTTTTCATTGTAAAGGTTTTTCTTGTCTCTGGTTAGGTAGATGCCAAGGTATTTTTTCTTCTTCTTTTTTTTTTTTTCCTGTGGCTATTGTGAATGAGAATGTGCTTTTTAATTTAGTTCTCTGCCTGTTTGTTGTTGGTGTATAAGAGAATGTGAGTGTCTTTTGCACGTTAATTTTGTACGCTGAGAGTTGCCAAAATCCTTAGGAGGCTTTTGACAGATTCCTTTGGGTTTTCTACGGGTAGAATCATATCATAAAGCAAAGAGGGATAGCTTAACTTCTCCTTTTGTATTTGGACACCCCCAGTTTCCTTCTCTTGTCTGATTGCTCTAGCTAGGACTTCCAATGCTACGCTGAACAGGAGGGGTGAGAGTGAGCCACCTTGTCTTGTTCCCATTTTTAGGGGGAATGCTCCCAGCTTCTGTTTATTGAGCAATATATTGACTGTGGGTTTATCATAGATGGCTCTTAGTATGTTGAGATATGTTCCCTCTATGCTTACATGTTCCAGGGTTTTTTTCAAGAAAGGATACTGGATTTTGTCAAAAGCTTTTTCTGCATCTAATGATATAATTATGTGGTTGTTGATTTTATATATGTTAATGTATTGAATTACATTTATGGTCTTGTGGTTGTTGAACCAGCCATGCATCCTGGGGATGAAGCCTACTTGGTCATGGTGGATAATTCTTGAGATGTGTTATCAGATCTGATTTGCTAGTATCTTGTTGAGAATTTTTTGTCGTATGTTCATCAGGGATATTGGCCTGTAAATTGTAAATTGAAGTGGCTTTTAAGTGGTGGATTTTAAAAATTAATAGCCTTTATTATTTGGAACAATTTTAGACTTACAGAAAAATTGAACAGATAATACAGGGAATTTCCATAAGCAGGAGAAAGCTTGAAATGAGGAAAAAATAAATTTTATGACTCTATAATGAAGGAATTGTTACTCTCTCTGGGATAGAGTAATTCTAGAGGTTTCTGTGAATGACAAGCTGAAGACAACTAGGAATATAATTGTAGTTATATTATGTGTATGTTTTAAGAGTGTGATTAGGATTCCACAGATACTAATGCCTTTTTACTAACAGATTTATTCCTCTGCTCAGAATATTTTATTCCACTTTATCTAGCAAGGTCATTTGTTTGTAAACTTCCAATTATATCTTCTTTCCTCGGGGAAATATATACCCCAATTTTCAGTGAAAATGTTTTGAACTGAGTAACCTACATTTTGTTTCTCTTATCCTTCATGATAGTTTTAGCCTAGATTCCCTGAGTTGGATTAAATTAATGAGCACATATAGAAAACTCAATTACAGGTTATTTATACTGTGAGAAAAATTGGTTTTTAGTTCAGGATAATAAATTTTCTTTCTTGAATGAGAACAAACCACACTTTGTTATAGTGTCTTAATCATACTATTGTCCTTTCCACTTGGACTTTTAACCCTTTTTCTTGTTTTTCAGGCTGTGACAGTGAGAAACTCCATGGCTAAGTCTCTATATAGTGCCCTGTTTGATTGGATAGTTTTTCGAATTAATCATGCACTTCTGAGTAGTAAAGATTTGGAGCACAATACCAAGGTACAAATATGTTGGATGATAATTATATTTTTCTTTGAAAACTGTGTTTATAAACTGGTTAATACACGAAATTTAAAAATATAGAATTATTTAGAGTAATAAGTAAACACTAATTTTTCTGTTATTATCCTTTTGAGAAGTACTGTTTTGTATGTCCTGGTATTTTCTTATTTTTACCTTCCGAAGATATATTCAGAGCTGCTTTTTAAAAATGTAAATAGAATCATACTATCTGTATTGTTTTAAACTTGTATTTTTTTAACCTAGGATCTTTTGAAATATATTCTATATCATTATATATCTGGACTTATTTTTTAAAACTTTTTAATTCGTAGTGTGATGTGTACCATAAATTCATCCATCAAAATTATATTATTTTTATTTTATTGTTATAAACAGTACTGTAACAAATTTTTTTAACTTTTTGCATATTTCTCTAGTATAAAATTCTAAAAATGAAATTGCTGGATTTAGAAAAAATATATATATATAAATTTTAAAAATTTGGTAGCTACTGCTAAATTGCTTTCCAAAAAGGATCATATACTTCTGCCAGCAGTGTGATGGTGTCTGTTCCCCTACACTTTTCTGCCAGCAGTGTTTAAAAGTGTCTGTTCCTCTATACTTTTACCAACACTGGATATTACTAGTATTTACATCTCCTAATCTGATCATGGGAACTCTCTCATTTTATTGAATTCTTTTCCATGATAGATGAAAGTTAAGCGTCTTTTCATGTTTTCTTTATTTTATTCTCTGTATTATTATTTCTTTGTATCTTTGAGTTATTTTTGTTTTTTATTTTGTTTTTTTGTCACCCTTGTTAGAGGCCATTTGTTGTGGATATTGTAGAGATTTATGGTTTGATATATATTGCAGATATTTTCTCTCGTAGTTACTGGACTTTTCAGATTTGTTTATGCTATTTTTTTGTGCCCTTTTGTGGTAAATTTTTTACAGTTAATTCTGTAACTTTTTTCACTTTTAATCCTGGGTTGTATATATTTAGTTTACCCAAGATCATGAAATATTTATTCTCACACTTTGAGCAAATGTCTAGCCTTTTCCCAACTCGAATTTATTTTTGACATGGCAGGTTTTAGGAATTTAACTTTGATCAGTTCAAATCCAGTTTTATTTTCTCAAGAGCCATTATGGAATAGTCTACCTTGTCAGACTGATTAGAAATGCCATCTTTATTATTTAATTCTACTGTCTTAAATTTAAAATTACCCTTATATTAATTTTTTATATTTTAAGTAAACCCAGAGTTATAAAAACTAATGTAAATTGCAGTCTAATTTATCAAATTGACTTATTTTTAAAGGGCACTATTTTCATTTTTCTTCTGAAGGGCTTAGACTTAGCAGAATTAAACAAAATACTCTTAATACAGAATTTTAAATAATATCTTACTATTTATCACTCCTTACATCGATTTGCCTTGTATATATATTAGCACTAGTAGAGAAAAAAAATTTTTTTAACTAAAATTGTCATACAACTGTTTTTCAAGAGTGGGTTTTGGTGGTGAGAAGTGTTTATATGCAGGCATTAGAGCCAGATTTCTATTTTTCATAGTAAGAAGTTAGAGAAAGAATTTATAGAAGTAAGATATCATTAAATAGAAGAATAAGTATTTATATTTTCTATTCTATTGAACAGATAAAAGATTTGAATATTGCTGACTTTAGAGGAACAGGCATTGATGAGGAGGAAGAAATTGCTGTCTTTTGTTGCAGTCCTTTTTAGTGTTAGTCAACATCTTAAACCTTGTCTTTTTTTTAATAAAAATTTTTAACTTTTAGAAGTCATTGGCTCAGCCTGTAATCCCAGCACTTTGGGAGGCCGAGGTGAGTGGATTGCCTGAGCCTGCGGGTTCAAGACCTGCCTGGGCAACTTGACGAGACCTCATCTCTACAACAAATCAAAAATTAGCCGGATGTGGTAGCGCGTGCCTGTAGTTCCAGCTACTTGGAAGACTGAGGCGGAAGAATCGCCGGAGCCCAGCAGGTCGAGGCTGCGGTGGCCGGCAGTGGCCACTGCACTCCAGTCTGGGCGACAGAGTGAGACCCAAGAAGTCATATGTTCTGATATCTAGTTTCATCCCTAGCCTGCATGAGACTGCTTAAATATACTTACTAGTTTGGCTCTTTTTTTTTCTTTTCTTTTCTTTTTTTTTGCCCAGGCTGTATTGCAGTGGTGCGATCATAGCTCACTGCAGCCTTGAACTCCTGGTTGGCCTCAAGTGATCCTTCTGCCTCAGACTCCCAAGTAGCTAAGACAACAGGCATGTACCACCACCTCTGGCTATTTATAATTTTTTTTTGTTGAGATGGGGTCTTGCTGTGTTGCCCAGGCTGGTTTCAAACTCCTGGGCTCAAGTGATCTTCCTACCTCGACCTCTCAAAATACTGGTTTTACATGCATGAGCTACTGTGCCCAGAATTAGTTTGTTCTTAAAACAGAATTCCATTTATTGGGATACAGAAGTTAAAACAGGAAAAATTACACGGTCCTTTTGGCATAGCTTGGAATAACCTAGCTCTCCTGATCCTTCCCTTAAATAACATTTTGATTTCCCCATAGCCTATTGTTTCCATTTCCACTTGGATCTTAGGAATTTGTCAGTTAGGGGTTTTTTGGAGTTTAAGGATTTCTGAGATTAAGAAAGACCTCTACCCTTGCTTTGTGCAATTCTGTGAAGTAATTCGTGTACTATGTGTATTAAAATTTTGGATGTATTTTTATAATTAGGATAAAAAAAGATGATGATAAAGAGAACTAAAGCACTTTTCATTCATGGTATATTTTGGTTGAATATTAACCAAAAACAATCACCTCTGCACTGCTGTAGAGGAGTTGAGCATTTTGTTACTTATATTGTAGATATTACTCATTAAATAAATTTAAGCATCATTTTTTAACCAAAATTATGTCTTGTTTTACAGACATTGTCTATTGGTGTTCTTGATATTTTTGGGTTTGAAGATTATGAAAATAATAGCTTTGAACAGTTCTGTATTAATTTTGCTAATGAGCGTTTACAGCACTACTTCAATCAACATATCTTTAAGTTGGAACAAGTGAGTACCTAAATATGTGTATCCTTGTCTTCTCATCCTACATATTTTTTTGAATTAATTCATAATATAATAAGCATTTTAAATCTTGTCTTTCATTACAGATATTGTGGTCCATGTATCATTGTAAGCAGGTGACAAATCAGCATAGGTTTTGAGCCATGTCATAGTAGGGTTGATAGTCCTCAAATAGATTTGCTTATATGTGCTTATTTGAGTACGCCTTTGAATGAAAAGATATGTGCATTTGTTTTGGGGTTTTTTTTTGGTTTTTTTTGCTAGTGATGGTTTTTAATTTCTTCCATGGGCTTGGTCACTGTGTAATACTAAGTACAGTTGACCTTTCATAGCCTTGGGTTTCACATCCATGATTCAACCAATGGCAGATACGAAACCGCTGATATAAACCTGTGGATATGGAGGGCTGACTACTAAGCTATTTTACATAAGGTACTTGAGCATCCATAGATTTGGTATCCACAGAAGGACCTGGAACCAATCCCTTGCAGATATGGAGGGTCACCGTAGTTTTAGGATGAGACAGAGGAACTTAGTAATAGAATCTCAACACAGAATGTGGATACAAAGAAATAGAACAGTGTGGAGAGACCAGGATGGGTAACTGTTTTTTGTGAGAATCTCAAGATTGATTGAGTTAGTATAAAAAAAGTGATCTTTCAGTTTCTATGATAATTATTAGGTTAAAGCCAGGGTCAAACGAAATGTGGGCTTTTTCTCCAAACTAAGTTTGAAATCAGTTGCAGGTGGAGATTGTATATGAGAACATAGCAGGCACACGGTTCATCACACCCAGCTGAAGGGAAATGGCACAGATCAGAGAATGAACAAAAAACTACAACAGCTAGCAGGACTACAAAACAAAACAACGAGAAAAAAAATTTTTATATCATTCGTTTTACATTAGCCCATCATCGGGACTTATTGCCCTCTGTCCTAGCTTTAAGAATCTAAATTTTGTTTAAAAGAAAGGCATCATGGCTGGTTAACAGTAGCAAAAGAAGTATTAGTCCTGGCCACTTTGATGAATGCTTAAAGTTTTAAATGCATAACCTTTCAGCTGTATGCTATGCTAGAAGTATTAAAAGATATTATTTATTATAATATTAGCTAACACTAATATAGTATTACTTTTCATGCAGTACTTTTTTTCCTCTTCTGATTTTACAGGTGATATCTAAAGCCAATATTCAAACCTTAACACTCCAGTGTTCTAATTTTTGCTTTTCACCAGAAGCTAGCTGGGATTACAATGTAGGTCTCTTGGCTCAGTCAAGAACTGGATCATAGTAAATTAATAGATTTTATCTTTTGCAAATAGGTATGTGTTGGAGGAGTGAGAGAATGCATTTTTTTGTCTGTGTTGTATATTTTACAGAGTAAACCATCAATTGCTCTGTGGGTCATTTAACAGAAGACTGGTTAGATTGATTTTGAAGAAGAAACCTGTTCTCTTATTGTAAAAAAAATTATTCTCTCCTTTTCTAGACGTTCAGATTGAACATGAAGAGCCAGAAGAAATGCCTTGGCCATAACCATTGTATAAAAATAAAGCTTGAATGTTTATAGGAAATGTATTTAAAACTACTTGGGGGATACGTGATTCTCATATACTTACTACCCTGAGTGTTGTAGTTTTGTTTTTTTTTTTGAGTTGGAGTCTCACTGTGTCGCCCAGACTGGAGTGCAGTGGCCGCTTCCGGCCACCGCAGCCTCGACCTGCTGGGCTCCGGCGATCCTTCTGCCTCAGCCTTCCAAGTAGCTGGAATTACAGGCATGCGCTACCATGCCCGGCTGATTTTTTGATTTATTGTAGAGATGAGGTCTCGCTGCCCAGACGGATCTCGAACCCGTGGGCTCAGGCAGTCCACTCACCTCAGCCTCCCAAAGGTGCAGGATTACTGGCTGAGCCACCGAGCCTGGCTGTGTTGTAGTTTTAAACAGTATGGTGGAATTATGGATCAAAAGACTTCGATTCTAAGTTGTAACATTTTTGGTGTCAAGTCTCAGTATTATCTTATGTATTTTGTGACCTAGTAGGTATGTTTTGATGTAATTTATGGGCAGTTTATCAACCTTATACCTCTTTGCCATCCTATCTATAATCTTCTCCTTTTTTTTTTTGAGTTGGTGTTTCACTCCATAATTCATCTTGGGGTGTAGTGGCACACTCTTGGCCAACCTAGCGTTGACCTGCTGAGCTCAGGCAATCCTCAGCCTTCCAAGTAGCTGGAACTACAGACATGCATTTTGAGGCCAGGAGTTTGAGACCAACCTAGCAACATAGCAAGATTTCATCTCTACCCCTCTGAAAAAAAAAATGTGTGGTGGTAGTGCTGGTAGTTCTACTTACTCAGGAGGCTGAGATGGGAGGGAGAATCTCTTGAGCCCCAGGAGTTCAAGGTTAGAGTGCACTCTAAGTGTGCCACTGCATTCCAGCCTGAGTTACACAGCCAGACCCTGTCTCAAGAAAACAAAAGCAAATACAAAAAGAAACCCAAAATCCAAAAATACAGTATAATAGAGAAAAAATGGTATACTTATATAGGGCACTTAGACCATGAATGGAGCTTTCAGGACTGAAAGTTACTCTGGGTGATGTAGTGAATGAGTGATGGGTAAATGTGAAGGCCTAGGGCATTACTTTACACACACTACTGTGGATTTATAACTGTACACTTAGGCTACACTAAATTTGAGTTTTGTTTTTTTTTAATAATAAATTAACCATAGCCTACGTTTTTACTTTGTAAACTTTTAATTTTTAACTTTTTCTAATAACACTTAACTTAAAACCCAAACACATTGTACAGTTGTACAAAAATATTTTCTCTCTTTATATTCTTATTCTATAAGCTTTTTTTCTGTTTTACTTATTTTTTTTCCTTTTTAAATTTTTTTCTTAAAAACGAAGACACAGACACACACCTTAGCTTAGGCCTACACAAAGGCAGGGTCATCATGGCATCACTGGACAATATGAATTTTTCACCTTTATCTTATGGGGCCACTGTCATATGTGTGATTCATCTTTGACCAAAATGTCATTATATGGCACATGACTTAGACTGGGTGAGTGATTCTGAATCCTAAATCAAGGTAGAGGTAGCAATAATGTGGAATTAGAGATAGACTAAAAGGGGTTTCTGAGATTTGAAAGTATAGTTGTGCCGTAATATCCATGGGGGTTTGGTTTTAGGATTCCCCGAGAATACCAAAATCACCAGTACCGAAGTTCCTTTTATAAAATTGCATTGTATTTGCATGTAAACTGTACATATTCTCCTATATTCTTTAAATCATCTCTCAGTTATTATACTTAATACAGTGTGAATGTTATGCAAATAGTTGCTATACTGTTTTATTTTTTCATTTGTATTATTTTTTATTGCTTTTTTTTTTCTGAATGTTTTTGGTACCTGGTTGGTTGGATCCACAAATGCGGAACCTACAGATACAGATGGCTAACTATAGTTTTTTGTTATCATTTGTATTACTGCCTTCTTTTTTCTTTACTTAGAATTAGCCTTCACATTATTGATTCATCAGTAAATTGAATAACAGTCATATGCCAGGCAGTGTGCCAAGCCGTGAAGATAAAAAATGTAGAGTACAGGTATCTTATTTGAGGATCTCACAGTCTAGCAGGGTTTTAATTTGTCCATCTTACTTCTGGTGATGTCAACTAAAAAATTCTGGCTTACCTTACCTTGGAGAACAACCAAAAAAACTGAACAACGTATACTTGAAGGCATTGGAGTTCCTTAAAATACATGAAGTTTACAGGGCCTAGACTGTAAAAAGAAAATTTAGGGAGGCGAATCTAGCATTGTGGGGCTGCTTTTTGTTCCTAGAGACATTTCTCTATTATTGTAGAGAGTTTCTTATTCTAAAAGAGCCAGGCTTGAGGGTTTGAGGAGCTGAGCAGTGTTTTCTCCCTATTAAAAAAGCAAGGAGGATATATGTCTTAGCTCCTGAAGGCTTTAGAGAGAGATTCCCAAAAGGGTTACATCTTAGAAGTAAAGGTGAACCAAAAATAGATCAGGCATTATAGGATTTGAAGCCCAGTCTAAAATCATTTCAGTTCCTGATTAAGTTAAAATAATGTAGACATTTTAGTGTTCTTAACTACCTGCCAAGAGCAAATAAAACCTTCACTGGAGGAAGAGATCATCTTACTGCTAAAATTATCTCTATAATTTCTCATATATGAGATCTAGCACCTAGCAAAAAGAGAGAGAGAAATACATGGAGGCAAGCCAATGTGAATAAAAACCAAGAGAAATGAGAAAATAGTACCATAGTGACTCCAGATAATGATGTTATTGGACATGGCCCTTACAATAATTATGGTTTCAATAAATGTTTAAAAATTTAAAAAACAATTTTTATTAAAGGACTATGAACTATTTTTTTTAAAACCTGAAATTTAGCTTAGCCTCAAACTAAAAAGTACAGTGAAATTAGGATTATACACATGGTTTTTAATTAATTAAGATACAGGTTAAGAGAAAAGTAATGAATTGGAAGTTAGACCAGAAGAAAATATTGGGCCTAATGAATGAAAATTTTAAAAGAAATATAAAACATATAAGAGTCTTACACTTTTTTTTTTTTTTTGAGTTGGAGTCTCACTCAGTCGCCTAGACTGGAGTGCAGTGGCTGCTCCTGGCCACCACAGCCTCGACCTGCTGGGCTCTGGTGATCCTTCTGCCTCAGCCTTCCAAGTAGCTGGAACTACCACGCTACCATGCCCAGCTAATTTTTTTGATTTATTGTACAGGTGAGGTCTCACCGAGTTGCCCAGGTGGGTCTTGAACCTGCGGGCTCAGGCAATTCACTCACCTCGGCCTCCCAAAGTGCGGGATTACAGGCTGAGCCACCGAGCCTGCCGAGACTTACACTTGTAAGAGCATAATGAAGAGGTCTAACAGGTGCCATAGGAATTCTGGAGAGATGTATATAAGAGAAATAGAATAGGATAG